ATGAGGATCTGAACCTATGACCCTTGGTATTATGAGGCTGCACTCTAACCAACAGAACTAACTGCCCTGACTTCTCTGTCCTTTGATGCATCATTTTTGAGCACTTTTTACTTTCTGGCACAACAAGATGTCCGAGGCGCATCTCCTTGTTCTTTTCCAAGCCCTAGAGTTAGCCATTTCTCCAAGGAGCTCTGATTCCTTTCAGTGGAGATTGGTGCTCGGAAGCCAAACTCTGGGCTCTATGTGTATTCATTGCTATTGGGGCATCTTTGCTTCCAGTCCTTCTCAATGGAAGAGCTAGAAAACGTGTATGTGATACATATACACATTTACATCTATACTTATTCTTATATATTTATTGAAATCTATGCGTTCACATGGGTACCTCTAATTCCAATCCAGCACCACAGGATTCATTCTAGCTTTCTACCTTTCCATATTTGTAATTCTGTTTGGCAGTGAGAAACCTGGCTTCCATTATCATCAATATATTTATGTATTTGATGTATCCCATGTATGTAACCAGACTTCCATTGCCACCACTCCCTACCCACAGAGATGCCTTCCTCCCTCACTTGAGCTCTCATACCTCGTCTGGGCTGACCTACTGCATGGGAAGCCTTCCCTACCCGACTTGAGCACCAATACCCACTGCTAGTGCTAGGTGTTCCCCCATGCACAAAAGCCCTTTTCTCCCTGCTTGGGGGCTGACGCCCCAGACCCTGCATTCTCTATGTGGATGCTCTCTTCACCTGACTCTGAAGGGCAGGGCTCTGAGACCCTGCACCATGCTGCCTTCCTTTGTGGATACTTCCCTCACCCCTTGGGTTCTGAAATCCTGCCTCAAGCTCCCACCCCACACAAAAACCATCCTCATCATGCTTGGGCTCCACAACTGCCCTCTCTTGCAGATGCTCTCCTCACCCAACTCTTGTTCTAATATCCAGCCCCAGAACACCCCTTCACCAAAATGCCTCCTATACCCTTCTTGTGCTCTGAAATGCCCCTACACAGATGCCCTGCTCACCTTGCCCAGGCTTTGATGCCTCACACCAGGCCACCCCTCCTCACCCTGGGTGGACTCTAACACCCTGTCCTGGGTCCCCATGGCTTCCCCACCCTGCAGAGACTCCTACTTTACCTGGCCCCACCTAATGGCTTTTGGACTGAATTATGCAGGAAGGGAAGAGGAAAACCTATATACCTGTTTTTAGATTAAATCATTGTCTTCTGTTATTAAGACATTGCTTTTGGTACCGTGTAGTGAATGTGATTTAGCTAAATCACTGATGTAATTTTTTTTCCCTTTAAACCAATGTATCTCATAAACTACCAAGTTTACTTAAGACAATATTAATTTGCCCATAGTTTATGATATCTTGTATTACTAATTCATTCAGCTTCCCCAACATTTGTTTCAAATCATGACCTCTATTAAAGGTGTTTTTGTCCAAAATCTGGGTAAAAACCAAAGTCCTCACAGTAGGCCACAGGCTTTGCGCAATCTGACTTCCTCTCCCTCCCCCCTAATCCGCAGGCTCTTCCCTGGCATGCTTTTCTCCCACCACCCTGGTCTCTGTGCAATTCCTGGAACTGGCCAGGCCGCATCTGCCTTAGGGCTCTGCCCTGGTTGTCCCTCTTCCTGGAATGCTCTCTCCCCAGATGCTCCCATGGCTCACTCCTGTGACACCTTTAAGTTTTTGTTCAATATCACCTTCTCAATGAAGTTCACCCTGAAGAGCTTATTTAAAATTGCAGTGTCCCCCGCTGTTTTCCCTGCTCTATTTTCCATGGTACTTACCACCTTCTAATATACTACACTTCTAGTAGTACTTATTACATTTATTTTTTATTGTCTGTCTTTCTCCCCACCATAACTACTAAACTGTAGCTCCACAAGGGCAGGGATTTTTAATTATTTGTTCATTATCTAATAAATATTTGTTGAAAGAAGACAGCCATTCTCTGAGGTAGTTTGAATCCCCAAACTAGATTAATAGCGACATCTAGCTTTCATGGAGTAATGTGCTTTTTAACACTGAGACTCACATTAGCCATGGGATAAACAGTATTACTGGTTAAATCAATTCTCAATTACTCTGTTTTTTACTGCCCTCTGTGGATCTATAAAACTTAAAATGCTCTGTACCAGCCAGCCACCAAAAAAAAAAAAAAAAACCCCACGAAAAACAAATTAAAATGTTTTCAATGATCTAACAGTCATGGGACATATTGACTTCTCTAAGAGCAACCTCTTCTCCACTGACTTGCCCCTTCCTTTCCAGAACAGTCATGGGACATATTGACTTCTCTAAGAGCAACCTCTTCTCCACTGACTTGCCCCTTCCTTTCCAGAATTCCTGTGGGGGAAGGAGTGTCATGAAGGTCTTGTATCTTTTAATTTAGGGGCACCTCTACCCTTCTACCACTACTCCTCACCGCCCCCCCCCCCATCAAAAACCAATGATCAATAAGCCAAAAAAAACCTCAACATGAAAACAGTGTTTGCTGTTTTGGTACACCGTTTCTCCAGAATATCAAAGTACATATTTATTGATTTTAAATGTTGGTTTTGGCCACAAAAGCTCCTGAATCAAAGTGATAAAACATTAGCAAAAGTAACGGTAATATTTAAAATAGTATCAGGATTCTCTAAGATAGCGAGCACAATCTTCCAACTTAGAAAATGTAGGTTTCTTTAGATATGATAAAGAAGGGAAAATGAAGAAAATGAAAGCTGCACTAAAAGCATTAACATATTTTAATATTTAACATTAGATACTGAAAAGTATAATTAGCTAATTTTTACTAAATGCTTATTGTGCTAGGCACTACTCTGAAAACTCATTAATCATCTTAACAACTCTATAATGTAGGTTCTCTATATTAAGCCCCATTTTTCAGACGACAGAATGGAGACACAGAGAAGCTAAGTAACTTGACTAAAGTCACAAACCTAGTAAACAGTGGGGCCAGGGTTAAAAGCCAGGCAGACTGGCTCCACAGCTCAAACACATGAGCTCATGTCCATGCTCTCATCTACCTCCCCATAGAAACGGGAATGATGTTGCTTTGTGTCAAAGTTCTTGCCCTGATCAAAGAAATTAACTTACTAATGTCCTCTTCTTACAAAAGGGAAACAGGACAACCATAAAAGAAAGAAAAATATATACAAATATCTTAGCAATAAGGTTTTACTCTCTTTACAGCCAAAAAAGAAGCTACAGTGAATGCCCTGCATTCTGGGGATGCTGTGGCAATGAGCAAAAGCAACATTAACATCAAGGTCAAAGGCAGAGGATGGTTTGCAGTGGCCTAATGAAGAACCAGTTGGTCCTCGCTGCCCTCCCATCTCTTTTTGCAACCCATTCCTCAGAACTTTTTGTTCTACCCTCCAATTACCCACAGTGTCCCCTGACTCTACCACAGGTTCTAATGTTTTAAAAAAGATGGAATGACTCAAGCTCCCAAACTACCGATTAATATACCCATTTCTTGAATTTGGTTCAAGTTGGCTTCTTGAACCAAGAAGAAAATAGTTGAATTATCTGTTAAAATGAGTCCCATTAAGGAGTGATTTATTAGGTAACAACTAGAAATATCTGCATTATACATTATACTCTTAAAAGGAACATGAATTCCCCAGAATTATGGATTGGTGGAGTCTTGCATCGGATATCTGTGAGTAGGTGGTTTCCAGGCTCTTTAGATAATTCTGGAAGTGGTGCCCCTGTCAACAACCTCAGCTAGAAACTAGGATTCCTTTTCCAAATGTTTCTTGACTCTTTAAATGTTCTAAAATACAAGGTTTCTTGGGAAAGGAAAATGGTCATTCTCCATCCTGGGAAGAGTTTTTCAACCCGTGGTTTGAGGATTACCTGTATCAGACTCATCTGGAGAGATTCCCAGCCTCACTTCTAACCTACTACATCAGAATTTTCCAGCATGGCTCAGAAATTTGTATTCTAACAACCTCCCTAGATGATTTTTATGTGCATAAATTTGGAAACCACTGACCTAAGGGGATAATTTTTAAAAGCAAAGCACCAGCATCATTTGGATTGTTGGATTCTTTCCTATTACAGACCACAGACCAGAACTTCAAGGAATATCATGTAAAAACCTAATTATAAGAAGACCAAATATAATTTTAAGAGACTAATAATTAACAAATCTATTTACAAGATCGTATGTCCTTTTGTTGTAAATTATACGTGTGAAATATCTCAAAGAATTCTTTGGTGAATGTCATTTAATTCTGACCTGCCTTCCATAAAATTAACCAGGTGCCCAAAGTTTTTACTGTGCTACCCACACATGAGTCTCCAGTAACCCCTGAGGCATTTGCCGAACAAGCCTCATTTCCTGTATAAAAGGAAATGCGCTTAAAATGAACTGAATTTGGCCAACTGTACAAAATTTAGGCTGATTAAACTTAAACTGATCATCAAGAGACTGTGAATTCTGCAGTTTTGGAGATGTTTTAAAATAGGAAATACAACCATATTTTTGGATAAGCACGGTATATAGTGACCTAAAGCTAGAGAATCCAAATAGAAGGAGTTTTAAGATTCCTTCTAGTTTTATAATTTGATAAACCACCTCTCCACCCAGTTGAAAGTCAACTTGTTTCTCCTGTTTATTTTATTTTTTAACTAGCCGGGCCTAGCAAGAATTCCTTGCTCCTTTCTGATAATGTAATAGCCTCTTGAGAATCCTTTACAGAAACAAAATTTAGATGCACCTAACATACAAAGAAGGAAACCATTTAACGTGATGGTACCACACCCAGATAATTCAGATACCTAGTAGAATTTCTTTGGAATTATTTGGCTTGACCAAGTTACGTGAGTAACTCTCTTTCAGTTATACCATATAATTACTCTTCTTTCTTATACTTTGTTTTCACTTGTCACTAACTTGTCACTGATTCTCATCAATTGTCACTCTCCTTTTTCTTTTAAAATCTAAATCACAGTAAAATCAAGAAGGTCACTTACCTTGAAAGTCTTCCTTCTTTATTTTCTTTTTTTTGTTCTTTGCAAGTCTTCCTTCTTTGGAACCAGGTTGCATGGTAATAGTGCTAGCAGAGTAGAAAACAGATGTCAAGGATAAAGAACCGGTAACACAACTGGGAACCCTTAATATAGTGTAAGAACTGACTCCAAACCACCTTTCTCAAAAACTAAAGATTTCTTTGAGAGAGTGACTAGTTGATAAACAATCTAAGGTGAGAGCTCTTATTATAACACTAAAGATAATTCCGTGAAATTACAGTGCAAGACTGCCTAACAAAACTTTTAAATCATAATTTTACCCTTCCTTCAAGAGATCATGAGAAAATCTAGTATTTTAGATTAAAATATGTAACTGCCTTTTCTGTTACTGTATTTGGATTTGTTCCACTGTATCTGGAACCAGGCAGCTAATACCCTTTACTCAGCATCTCACATTCCTTTAATGAAAATGGAATGGATTGATGGGATTAATGGCTAGATTTTTAAAAGATAGTAGTTATTTTGCCATTTTTTCTGTATACTGATGAAAGCTTCATATAACTTTACAGAAAAATAAACGAGGCAGTGTGAAGTTGAGAAAGATGGATGAAGAGGCAGGAGGAAAGACGGAGCTTTAGCCCTCATCCGGTCAAACTCCCAACTTCTTTGATCTTCACTTTATTGTAAAATTAGAGGCTATTGAAAGCCTCTTCCAAAACTTTTTGATCGAATAGAAATGCTAATTAGTTACCAACGTAATTAACCAATGTATTCTGATTTTTAAAAATGTTTTCTTTTGTGATTTAAAAGAAATTTGGAAGTCAGAAATGCAGCACGGCAGTCCTTCAAGGCCAGGTAAGAACTGATGAACTGGCAACAAAATCACGTTTTTAACTGAATATACTCATATCCAAGGCCCACAAAAATAACCTCGAATCTGCCGCCCACGAATTTACCAGGAAGCCCTGTTAATGACACAATTTCGGATCTCCCAGACATCTGAGTTAGCTGGCACCATTTTGCTCGAGGCGGTTAAGATTGGATGCTTCGGGCAGGGTTGGGAAGGTTATAATTTGAGGAAACTAAAAAAGGCGCCAGCAGTAGGGCTTTTTCCAAGGTCTCTGACAAAACATGTTGCGGAAGAAGTAAAGCAGCACTCAGTTAACCACGGCGGTCCTCACTCGAGGTTCTGGCTACCCGTGCCGGAAAGCCACGAGGGAGATGGTCCTCTACGATTTACATCTAAACGCACGCGCAGGCAGGGAAGGGTCCAGCCCGGGGATGACCGCACCGCCTTCGAGCCCAGCGCCCGCCACAGAGCCCAGGGTTGCGAAGGGATCTACGGCCCAGCCCCGCAGCGCGGACGGGCGTCGCCACGAGCCAATGAGCGCGCCGGGAGGCGGGGCAGGCAGGCAGAGGGGGCGGGATTTCCCGCGCGGCCGCTGGGAACCCGGCGAGGGCGGCGCGGGTGGCGACGGCCGCAGAGCCTGCTAAGGGAGAGCGGGTGGGGGTCAGCTGCTGCTGCTGCTGCTGCGGACGGGCGGGCGCGGGGAACTGTGGGCGGTCGCTTCGTCTCCTGCCGCCGCCCTCCCTCCCTCCGCCACAATGCCGGGGATCGACAAGCTGCCCATCGAGGAGACGCTGGAGGACAGCCCGCAGGTGAGGCGCGGGCGGCAGCGGGCGACGAGGGAGAGCCGGGTGGTCCGACCGCAGGCCTGGCGCCGCTGCCACTGCCTCAGGTGCCCGCCCCGGCCCAGGTGGCCGCCGCCCGGGTGACCCCGTCTGTCGCGGACCG